GTCTTCGTCTCCTTCTAGTTGAAACTGCGTGATCCAATCACGTCTTGTCACGTGTAGCCTACATGTAGTAAGCCAATAGCATGCCTTCAGCTAGCCGCTGCTGGGTCAACCAATCACGTCATGTCACAAATAGTAAGCCAATAATGTGCCTAACAGACTCTTTTAGACACGCCCACAAAATAAAGGAACAAGCTTGTGAATTTTTTTAATGGACTTAAAGTTGGAAAAAGCTAACTTAGCGAAAGCTAATTCTGCTAATGGTTTTCAAAGTTAGCGAAAATGCTAATTCGCTATACGATAATTAGTTCCACTATTAGCTATTAGTGGAACTGCGCCCACCATAAGATGTCAAGTTATAGACCAGCTAAAGCAAGGAAATGTCTAATTTAAATATTACTGCCTCTGAACTGAGATATTCATTTTTTTAACCTATTTCTCCAAGATAGACATTTTTTTTGCATTTAGATGCTAATGAGTCTTTCGTCATAACCATGCTAATAGCTGCACATGCTCACCATACTCATTCTGCTATATGTACTCAGTACTTAAGATAATACAGTAGGTCGTACTGCATTATTTTTTAACGTGTCACAATTAAAGGCTTGCTCTGTTTAATTTGAAGCGTGCAACTTTGATTTTAGATTTTATTTCAAGGATTTAAAAAAAACAAAAAAACCTTCCTGGTAGCTATGCTGGAAGATATTTTAAGTGCATTTTCTGCCTTTTCAGATAATGCTATGTTTTCAGTAGTGTTTTTAAAACAGATTTTTAAGTTTGTCTCTTGGTGTTGTATCCCTTAAATACACCAAGTCTCTGATAGCATATCAAAAGTACCATAGATAAACTGACAGACTATTTAGACTCTGATCGTGGTCATAAGATGTGTCTTTTAGAACCAAATCCATCTCTTTTTAAAGCATTTATCTTAAGTCGTGTTATGCCAATAACATAACTACGACTATATGAATCTGGTAATCAGAGTTTGAGACCTCTGGCTCATAATCACTGTAATTTGATTTTGAAGATATTTGCGGTGTATTTTCATTTGCCTTATTCAAGTTGTTTTAATTTGAAGATACTGGTAATGCCATATTTTGCCCATGTATGTGGAAACATCTTAGTGTATGTTTTTTTTGTTTTGTGAACATGTGTTTTCATGTTTCTCATTGGCAAAAATAGAAATCAAGCGGGTTGTATATATTGGTTGGCCAAGTGGAGCATTTTAATGGTGTGCAGACGTTCTGTTTTACCCAGAGATAAGATGCTGCAGATCACAAACAATAAACGCTGTAGGTTCACATCATTTGCGGAGCATTTTACTCTCTGTGACAAAGAGCTCTGTTAAAAAAATGTTGTTGTCCTTGTGTGGATGTGTGAATATACAGCGTAACGCTATGTGCCCTCAGCCTATGCAACGTACGCTAGATTTATCATCCTCACTTAATACACTCATAAACATTCCCTGGCATGTCACAGAGGCTGTGAACCCCCGTGCACGACTGGCTCAGTAAATTGGGCCTGTGTAAACCATTTTGCCTGTCTAAAATACAGTGCAGCAAATTGAAATCCCCAGTAAGTCTGTGTAGCAGTGTGTCACAGCTGGGTAGGGAGGAGGGAGAATGAAGGTTTTCTCATTTACCACCTGGAGGTTTTTTCAAGTGTCATAACCAGCTATTCTCACACTTCTCCATTTCTCTCTTCAAGACGTCGTCTAATCATGTTTTTTTCTCTCTCTCACTTTAATCCCCTCACGGACCTTTGTTTCCCTTTCACTTTCTGTAAAATACTTTGTCACATTCTGTATTTGGTTTCATCAGTCTCAGGTCCAATATATATTTGAGCTTCGTGCAACTGTAAGGCTGAGAATAAACAACAATCATGAAACTGTTCAGGAACAGATATAATCTAACCTCCGTTGAGGGTGGGGGGGAATCATACGGATGACTATTTTTGGTACTTTATGAAAAATATCTTGAAGGAGGCTTCACTTAATTGTTTTTATTTTTATCCTTCATATCTCAACTTTTGAGCTACTCAACTTTCAGTTCATATGCACAAAACAAGACCACCATCAGGCTGAAGAAGAAATCCTCTATTAAATTCACGCACATCTTTTCACCATCCAACCAACAGCCGTCCATTTTGTTTAGACCTTTAGCACCCAGCTCATTCTTCATCCCAAAGGACTTTTCCAGCTTCTTTTTTCCCCTTGGATAACCTCACTCGGTGCCTCTTTGCCCAGCGCTGTAAGTAATGGGCTTGTTGTGACCCTCCATGCCTCATTGTGTAAGACTTCAGCTTCTGACCTTAAAAAATGAAAGTAAATCGATAGGGCGGGACACACGAATTCCAAAGACCAGGATGCAAGCCAAGCTTGGAGCCCAGAGAAGAGGAGGATGAGGAGTGCTCTGTGTGTTGCTGAAGGACTTGAGGAGACTACGCCTGGCATAAAAGGGAGGGATATTTGTATTAGCATACAGCACATACAGCTGCTCACTTGGAGTTCAAATCATGGTGAACTTGGATGAAATAAAAACAGTAGGTCAGAGAGGAGGTGGTACGAGGCAAAACCCTATAAGTCAAATCTAGAACTGCAGCTGTGAACTTTATAGAGACTAGAAGATGGACAAAAAAAAAAAGATAGCTCAGGAGAATTAGATTCCTCTGTACTGCCACTGCACGGAAAAGTGAATTAACAGAGCTGTTTTGTTTCATTTTTGTTAGATTTTGTTATTTTTAAGCTTTTTAAAACTTGTACACTTGTGTTTTCCAAGTGACAAACACAACTTAAAAACAAAAAGTTTGTAAGCTCAGTCATCCGGGTAGATGACTGAATAACAAGAACAAAAATTGTTAAATGCTTTACCTTTCACACCTACATTTTGATGTTGTCGGTCTGCGGAGTTGAACCAGCAACCCAGTTAAACTATTGTAATTATTGCTTCATCTGCCACTGACTTGTCTCAATAATCAATATTAAAACAATGTATTAATTTAAGGAGGTATTTGCACTTAAAAAGTCTAAAAATCAAAGAAGCACAGTCGGATGTCATGAATATTCATTCAGTCAGACATGTGCAACAGTATTGTAGAAACACCAGCTCATGTTTGGGGTTTGGGAAACTTGACTTTGGGCTATGTGAGACTTTTTGAGCCCATTGTGAGCCACCAAAAGTCTTAAGTTGTGCTTTCCCTTGTTAATGGCTGTTTTTGCTTCCATGCGTAAAAAAGGTGTTTCTCTGTTATCATGCCGTGTGCATTTGTGTGCATCTACAGCTGTAGGCAAGACAGTGCATGTGCGTATGTATGTGTGTGTGCGTGTTAATACGGCACAGCGAGTGGCTGCCCATCAGTTCCCTTTAGCTCAGCGTGGTAATTGGCCGTCCATTGATGGACGTGGCTCCCTCTTCACGCTCCAGGGACCTCGGCTCTTTGTCTGAGGAGTGGAAGGCGACATGCTGGCATGGCACACACGCTTAAAATAGTGCATCAAATCAGCCATGCTCCAACAGTCGCCGCTAACGTGTGAGGCAGACTGGAGGACTAATAGTGTGTGTTTGCGTGCACGTGCTCAACTGTGCGTGCATGTGTTTGTACAGCACACTTTGAGGTTTTGAGGTTCTCCTTAGGGAGGGTAAGGGTTAACCTGGTTAACTCGAGCTGCTGGTGGTATTTTGTCGTGTCTTACTCTCTTCTTGACCATTTGTCTCTCCATCGCCTCATCCATCTCTCAATTAGTTTTTTTTGCGTTGTGCATTCTCTCGTCTTCTTCTTTTTGTACGTTATTCCTCACACTCTTTCACCGTCTCTTTGCCTTGTTTTGTCTTTCTTTCCTTCCATGCCCACAGGGCTCCAGCTCTGCCTCTCTGTCATTATGTGCAGTGTCCCTGCAATAGAGATATAAATGGTCTGTGAGCAGGGGGCACTGACTCCTATACTATAAATCTGCGCTAACAGCACAACAAACAAATAAAGAGAGCAGGGGAGGGATGAAGAAAGAGAAATAAACAATGAAGGGATCAGATTTCCAACATATTTTGAATTTGGGAAAAGGAGATTATGTAAAAAAAAACTAAAAAAAAACAGCATTCATATATAGTCAGTTATAAAATATGCTAGAGTGGTTTATTGCATCGGGATCGCACACCCTTCAAGGTGTAAATTGTTTTCAGAGAGTAATGAAATTGGTTCTGGCAATATTAGTAGAGAGCAGGAGGTTGCCATCATTTAAAACTGTTTATAAGCTGCTGGAAGCCATATGAAGGCTAATTTCAGTGTCTCCTTGGTGAAATGTTTACTTAAAATACAAAATGAAGTGAATTTAAAAAAAAAAGAAAAGCAAAACAGATTTGAAAATAGTGATACAGAATGTGCCTCGTATGATTTCACCTGAGGAGGTAGAGACCATTTATCTTTTTTAATATGAGGATGTTTTGTCTGCGATGTATTCTGGGAGTATTACTGAATTTTGACTCATTATTATCTGCTGTTGGGTTTCCATCTCTTAGCAACACTAAATTAATCTTCTTTTTTCTGCACAGCTGCCTTAAAATGTCTTGTCTCATGACTGCAGTGACACGGAGATGTTAATGTCTGCTGTTTTTTTTGGTTTTTTTTTTTCAGAAGATAAAAAAAATTAACTCTTTTTCTCACATTTTCAACTCACTTCTCAGATGTTGTCACTCAACACCTCTCAGCGCCTCTTAAAGTCTTTAATCGCCACATTTTTAAACTGAAAATTATTTTTAGCAGTTTGTATTAAATGAGGCGGCACAGCTGCACAGTGGTTAGAGCTGTCCTCTCTCAGTGAGAAGGTTGCAGGATTGCCTCCTGGCTTTTCTGGCTGGAGTTTACATGTTCTCCCTGTGCACACATGGGTTTCCTCCCACAGACTAAAACCATTCATATTAGGTTAATTGTTAACTCTAAATTGTCCCTAGAGAAGTGGTTAAAAAAATGGATGGACATATTAAATGATTATTTTTCCTTTGTTTTTCCAGCAGCCCTATGCTCCTCCCCCTCATCCCATGGCTCCTCCCAGCCCCAGCACCAACAGCTGCAACCAAGGAGGGGCGGAGCAGCTGAGTAAGACCAACCTGTATATTCGTGGCTTGCCCCCTGGAACCACCGACCAAGACCTCATCAAACTTTGCCAACCGTGAGTACTTTCACTTGCAGTAGCATCTTTGTCTGGGGTTAATGGCCTTGATTTATTTCCTATAACTGTACAGGGTGAACAGTGCAATAAGTTGGCATTTGTCTAAAGCAAAATAAATATTCACGCTTTGATATTTTATTGAATAAGCTTTAGCATTTGCAAGTTTACCATTTTGATAATGTGATATTTTTATTTCTGCATGTAGACTGAGATTTTTTAGTAACAAAGAGAAATGTATAAAAATGTATGCTTCCATTTTTATCAATTATGACCTCCATACTGGTAACAGCTATCCATCTCCATGCTCTATGTCACTATGCCCAGAAATATTTCTTGACACGTCAGGGCGGCTGTGGCTGAGTGGTTAGAGTGGTCGTCCTCCAATGGTGGTTGGGGGTTCGATTCCACCAGCAGTCACATGCCAAAGTGTCCCTGAGCAAGACACTGAACCCCTCATTGCCTCAATGTGTGTCCCATTGGTCTATAAGTCTGATAAAGCACTGATTAGTCTTTGTAAATAAATTGTAGAGTGCTGTATGAATGGGTAAATGAGGGCACAGATTGTAGTGTAAAGTGCTTTGAGTATCTTTATTAGATAGAAAGGCACTTTATAAGTACAGTCCATTTTGTTTTTAAGTGTCACTGCTCCTGAAAAAAATACATTATATGTACTGTTACTCACTTCATTCTTGGACATCTATGTTTCTGTAGCAGCTATTTTTATGCTTTTATTGACAGTTCTTCCTCTCTTGTTTGGTTGTAGTGCTGTTTGATAATAAACATTTAAACAAGAATGAGGAAAAATGAGATATGCAATGAAATGTCACCCAAAATTTGGACATTATAAAGACAATAGAAAAACAAAATTGCCTTGGGGTCTGTTTCTTAAAAGATTTACTGTTAGTGAAGAAAGCCTTTTTATCGCCTTTAGCACAACTCTTTAAGATATTTGGCTGACATTAAATTCAAAATCTTAAAATAAGTACTACCTGGTAAGGTAAAACTGTGCAGGATCGCCTCCCAGTCTGGGGCCTTTCCAGGTGGTGTTTGCATGTTCTCCCTGTGAATGCATGGATTTTCTTCAGGTACTCCGGTTTCCTCCCACAGACCAAAAACATGCATGTTAGGATTTTTGGTAACTAAAATGTATCTAGGTGTGAGTGAGAGTGTGAATGGTTGGTTGTCGCATTTGTCTCCATGTGTCCCTGTGGACTTGAGACCTGTCCAGGGTGTAAGGGTGTAACCCCCCCCCCCCCACACACACACACACCCAGTGACTGCTGGTCGTCATGGGCACCAGTGACCCCCATGACAAGGAAAAGAAAAGGGGATAAAGAAAATGGATGGATGAATGATTGTAACTTTGCATTATTTTTTTTTAATGTTCAAATCTTGTTTTTTCCTTCACAGCATCCCAACATATTTTGAAACAATATATGCTTTAAAAAATAAAGAAAATATAAAGTTTTATCCTTAATTAACAAATAATGTAAACAAGCCAAAATTTTATCTCTGGAACGACGCTCTAAGCTATAAAAATCCTTTTTTTTTTCATGCACCATCAAACTGCTACCAAATGAGTACATTCAGGAGTCTTGTGCACAGCGGTACACTTAAAACTCTGGAAAATGTTCTTGATAGAGAAATGACACCCACACAAACATTTCTGCTCACAGCTCAATATGGCCCAATAAAGCCTAGATTGGGCTGCATCCCCCAGGAATGACGGAGCAGGACCTCATCAGGCTGTAACATGGGCTTTCTCTGCTTCTCTTTCTCCCAAACACTCACACGTTCACACACAAGCTGCTTTGTTCATCTTCATTAGCTCCTTTTTTTTTTTTCCCAACATGGTGAAAAGGGGGTCAAGATCATTAATGGAGACAAGGCCAACAGATTGTGAAATACAGGCTATGAGTGAGTCTGCCTGGTTGCATAACCTTTTCTTGGCCGTTTTTTCCAGAAATGTCCTGGTCAAATGTGGCCAATTATTCAGTGATGCTTTGGAGACGGGAACATACTGTCCAGTATATTGGCTAATGCTCCCAGTGGTCATGTCATAAGTCATGGATTTATTCTTGAAACTGACCCATCAAGATTCCATTAGGCTGAAAGGCAGCCCGATAAGATTTGGAAAAGCACTCAGCGTTTTGACATCGGATAGCTTTCTTTTAGCTCCTGCTAAATACTCTTTTATTCACCAGCAATACAAAGTTGGACCACTTCTATTTAATTTCTAATTCCCCACGATCTTGAACACTTTCACTCAAACAGCTCAAAAGGTCAACACCATTTTGGAGCTTATGTAAAATATGCTGGGAATATTAGTGAATACAGATTTGCATTCTAATATTGCACTCTTCTCCTTTGTGTTATGGAAAACTAGACTTTGTGACGGCTTGGATTTGTCATGCTGGCCTCTAGTGGCTATCTTCCTGTTCAGCTGTTTCCTTGGCTTTGCACTCCCTCTTGTCTTATATTGCCAATCTTTGCCTCTTTGAGCCCCCAAGGTTGCCCGAGGTGTGCTATGCTAGTGAAAATTCAATGCCACTGAAACTTTAATTAGCCTAACTGTGTTACAGTGGCAGGCGGGTGGCAGCATTTTAGAAAAGGTCATGCAACTGTTCTGCAGCAGCTCCCTGGGTTCCCTTCAGATTTTTTTCCCAGATGCCCATTCCCTCTCCAGCACAAAGCACTGCCTCTCATGGCTCTCAACCCCAGTAGTTCTCCAAGGGAGACCGATTGTTGAACACAAACACTCACTAAGCTAAAACAGTCACTAGATATAGGACAATATATTTATGACTGCAAAACAAGAGTTTCATTTTTTTTTTTTTTTTGCTGGCTTTAGTATTATTTTAATCAGATTCAAAGACTTGCAAGTACTCTTTGGCTTTACTATGCATCGCAGTGTAGTTTTGTGTACCTTTAACATGCCCTTGTACTGGCAGTTTCATCTGGTTTGGGTTTGTGTCGCACACAAAAAAATAATCTCATGCACTTCTGTTCACCTCTGTTTGAAAAGCAAACAAGCTGCTGCCAAACTGATGCGTTCTTAACAGCAGGCTGAAGCTGCTGATATGAAGCTTTTGAATATCATTGAGAGGTGCCAGAATAATAAATGCCTTTTCTGTGGTTATAACCTTGTTCTTATGAACTCTAATATGTTATTGCCAAGATCCTGTCACATTCTGTTTTAGAAACCAATGCCAAGGCCCCACAGTGTCTCAAAACTCAGTTTCCTCCTAAAATACTGAAACGTTGAGTTTCTGTTTTCACTTCTTTTTTTTTTTTTTTTATGGTCCATTTATGCAAATTGCTGAAGGTGCACATACAATATTAAAGGCCATATTGTAAAATATTGAAAGCTACATATATAAAATAAGGGGCCATGTGTCTTTTAGCAGCAGGCTTGGTAATAAATTGGATTATTTTTATAGTATTTTTCTGTCAATGAAAGCATTTTAAATTGCAAGCAAAAGTCATCCATACACTACATATCACTCATTTGATCATATCTTTTTAGAGGAACCAGCAATTTTAAACATTCAATAAAATATATTTTGCTTATTGGATGCTTTTTCTATAACTTTTACTAAAGTCATTTTGTGTTGGGGATGGGGGGGGGGGGGTTAATATAAATAAATAAACTAAAGGGGTAATGTCTGCAATTAGTCAAATAATAATTTGCAAGTTGAATCTTTAGGCACGTTGTTAAGAGCCGTTTTTTTATATATATTAAAATTATTTTAAAATAGACTTTTACCATTACCAGCGTATTAACTTTTCTTGTATATTCATAACAAATCATTTTAGAAAAGTATTTTTGTCATAGGAACTTTTTTGTCTCAAAAGTCTCAAACACTTAAGTTAAACTTTTGTTTTTATAAACTGATGCTTTAATGTGCCCTTTTTGTTTGAATATTTACTTGATTAATGTTGGGTGTCTTACCAGCTAAAAAAAAAGTTCCTTCATAAATGGTTTGTAAAATTGACAGGAATAAACATTTTTTTAAGCTAAAAGATAAGTCTCTAAATTTACAAGATTAACTAGCTCTTTAGAATCATCCATACATCCAGCCATTTTCTTCCGCTTATCCGGGGTCGGGTCGCGGGGGTAGCAGCCTAAGTAGGGAGGCCCAGACTTCCCTCTCCCCAGCCACTTGGGCCAGCTCCTCCAGGGGAATCCCGAGGTGGTCCCAGGCCAGCTGAGAAACATAGTCCCTCCAGCGTGTCCTGGGTCTTCCTCTGGGCCTCTTCCCGGTGGGACCTGCCTGGAACACGTCACCAGGGAGGTGTCCATGAGACATCCTAACCAGATGCCTGAGCCACCTCAATTGGCTCCTCTTGACGTGGAGAAGCAGCGGCTCTACTCTGAGTCCCTCACGGATGACCGAGCTTCTCATGTTATCTCTGAGAGCCCAGACACCCTGCAGAGAAAACTCATTTCGTCCACTTGTATCCAAGATCTGCTTCTTTCAGTCACAACCCAAATCTCATGACCATAGATGAGGGTAGGAATGTAGATCGACCAGTAAATTGAGCGCTTCGCCTTTTGACTCAGTTCTCTCTTCACCATGACAGACCGGTACAACGCTCGCTTCACTGCAGACGCTGCAACTATCCGCCTATCAATCTCTCGCTCCATTTTTCCCTCATTCATGAACAAGACCCTGAGATACTTAAACTCCTCCACTTGGGGCAGAACCTCCTCCCCGACCCGGAGATGGCACTCTACCATTTTCAGACTCAAGACCATGGCCTCGGATTTGGAGAAACTGATCCTCATCCCGGTCGCTGCACTCGACTGCGAACAGCTCTAGCGAAAGATGTAGATCACGACCTGATAAAGCCAATAGGACCACATCATCTGCAAAAAGCAGATACGTGATCCTAAGGCCACCAAAACCTATAAATTCTGTCCAGAAAAGTTATGAACAGAACAGTGACAAAGGGCAACCTTGGCGGAGTCCAACTCTCACCGGGAACAAGCCCGACTT